GTAAGGTGGGGGTACCACTCCCTTACCCTGGAAAAAGACCCCGGCTTGGTTTGGGGTCTTCAATGTGACGCTCTTAGTAACACAATTAATGGATGTATGATTTGCTACTAGCCAATCCATTCCCAATATGACATCAAAGTGAGTCATGCTTAATGGCATCAAATCAACTAATAATTCTACCCCCTCAATCACCACAACACACGCCCTATATATGGATGCAACAATTATAGTTCCCCCAGATAGAGTAGATACAGATAGCGCATAATCAAGGGGTTCTAGCGGTCTGTTCAACTTCTCGGCAAATTTAACAGATACAAAGGAATGTGTAGAGCCCGAATCAATCAAGATGTATGCAACTTGAGAGCAAATTGAGAGTGTACCTGACACTACCGTTTCAGCATTGTGGGTGTCTCCTGGCACTAGAGCAAAAACTCTGCCTCGTCTCATCTGTGTCCTTCCGACGTTGCTTCCGTGTGCAGAGCCCGAGATGCTCCCATTTTTCTTACCGTCATCAGCCCTTGCCTTCGGACAGTCTTTCATACGGTGGCCTATCTCGCCACATTCAAAGCAGGCCCCTGTCGCCCAACGACAAACCCCGAGATGCGACTTCCCACAACTCGTACACGCAGGCTTAGTATTACCATCCCGATTTGAGTTATTGGAACTGCCCACGTTCGCCTTCCTCTTGGCATTAAATGACATCCGACGACTTTCATAGTTCTGTCTCTTCCTCTGACTCTCTCCTGAATTTTGATATCGGTTTAAGTTAGCTTCCGCCAGAATGGCCTTGTCTAACACCTCGGCGTAAGTCGGCATATTGAGCATGTTGACTTGATCCTGGATCGGTCCACGTAGTCCACTTTCAAACTTCCTGGCTTTCCTATATTCATCACCGACCATATGAGGCGCGTATCTCGCCAATTCGGTGAAAGCACGGTCGTATTCTGCCACTGTCCTGTTGCCTTGCGTCAGAGCTTGAAACTCTGTGGTCTTGCGATCTCGAACGCTAAGGGGAAAATGCTTGTTGTAAAACAGTTCCAAAAATCTGGCCCAAGTTAAACCAGGATTAGCTTCCCGGATTATCATCCACCACCTTCGCGCATCGTCGTTTAATGTGAATGCCGCCAATGTCACCTTCTGAGCGTCGGTGCTGGGAAAGATCTCGAACAGCTTCTCCATTTCCAGAACCCACGCCTCGGCCTTCATCGGCTCTATACCCCCTGAGAATCTCGGCGGTTTCATCTTCTTAAACTCCTTGATCAAGGCGATCGTGCCGTCCCCATACAAGGCTGGCTGCGAAGGTACTTAAGGCACTAGAGGAGGTGGAGGCGGAACTGCATGTCGGCCATTCGTCTGCTCGGCCAGGGTAGATGTAGCACTAGCATTCTGTTGCCTCATTTGTCTCAACTCACGGGTTAAACCTTCAACCAGTCTTTCTAGTCTGTCCAGTCTATCCTCTGATTGATCTCGGCCAACTGGTGGTCTACCTCTCCTCATGATGCTATGAGTATGCAAAATGCAACTTTAAAACAAACTGGACCAAGAATCATGTATGCAAATAACAAATGGTCATGCCGAGATAATGCACACCTTGTCAAATAGCAAGCAATATGATGCGATCCTAACATTTTTCTAAGAGAAATCCTATGCTCTTTAGGACTCAAGTGTGTGAATAACGTACTATAAGAAACTTGTGCTCTGATACCAATCTGTCACGACCCATTCCGCCCCTAGTAGAATGGTGCCATGATGGCCAGTAATTCACAATTACCCAAGGCCAACTTGCAAGGTTTCACACACAATCAGAGTATACATATGGGGCTTACAAGTGCGGAAGCAATAAATTTAAAACTAAGTAGTCCATAAGAGCTGTGCATAAGTCAAATAGAATGGCATACATCATTACATAGCTTTAATATAACAAAATGAAGTACAAAAATACATATTGACCAAAAGGCTTCTCAGCCATCAAATATAAAATACAATGAAATACAACTAAGAAGCATGATCTTCAAGATGCTGCAAAAGTGCAAAATCCAAAACAAGTGGCAAGTACATCTAGGCGTCACTACCGTCTTGCTCGTCACCTACATAAATATATAAAGAGGGGTGAGCTTGGATACTCAGTGAACGGTATAAATAATAAAGGGGTTTGCATGACTGGTATTCAAGATCTTTATCAAACGATACATAACATAATTAGTGCAAGTCAAAGGATGAACCAAGTCCATCTAGCAAATCTGTCAAGTTTCAAGGGATGCTTATTAGCATCGTTATAATACAAGTGATGACATCTCGAACAAACAAACCCACGCGGTAAACCGTCAGTGGCAAACAAGGCAAGGCAAGACAAGGGAGATATCTCAATTCAATGGTGCAGTTGCATTATAGTCCCCCGACACTAAGGACTTGTGCTACAAATGCTTAGAGTCCCTAGCACGTACGAACTTCCAAACTTTGTGCTGCAAATGCTTAGAGTCCTCCAGCACGTAAGGACTTTCAAACTTTGTGTTGCAAATGCTTAGAGTCCTCCAGCACATAAGGACTTTCAAGATTGTGCTGCAAATACTTAGAGTCCTCCAGCATGTAAGGACTTTCCAAGAATGTCATCAAAACAAGATAATACATATTTTCTAACTAGGAATAACCATTCATGCTTACAAATATTTTTTTAAAAAAAACAAGGCTTTTATCAAAGCATTATAACATAGCTTTATTAAAAATACCACTCACATAGCTCTTCAAACGTCGGGGTCAAGGCAAGTCCAAGTCCTACAAACACATGGCAAAGTCTGTTGAATGCACTTTCAAACAAGTTTCACATGCATACAGATGATCTCGGCCTTCCTCAAAAAACTAAGTCAAATCAAAACAAAACACAGTTTCTTATCTCAGAAAACATGCTGGGCAACTACTAGGTCTAGGCCGAGGTCCCACACCTCATTGCCGAGCTGTGGCCTCGATGGCCACATTCAAGGAAATGAAGTCGGGAAAATCTGGGTTTCCCTCTGCTGAAGAACATGAAGAACATGAACATAAGAAATATGAATGCTCAATCGCAACTTGTTATTTCAAAATCTAAGATTTCATGCTATGAGTTCGAAAACATGGACCTGGGTTTCCATACTCGAGGATCTTACGAAAACAAACACAAAAACATGGTTCTCAATACAAACTTTCGGATCAAAACAAGACTTTCTTTTAAGAACTCAAGAACACCATTTCTCTTTCTAGAACCAGACTTTAAATCAATGCACGACGCAAACTTTCGGATTAAACAAGGCTTTTATTCAAGAACACATGAATACCACTTTCTCTTTCTAAAACCAAACTTTCAATCAATGCATGGTTTGCAAATCAGGTTCGATCATGCAATGCAGCTAGATAAACATAAAGAACAACAAGAGTAAATCAAGAATCTAACCTCAATACACGAATCTAACGGTTTGATTTCTAGGAATCAAGCTCGAAAGCCCACTCTCTCACTCTAAAACTTCTTCTTCTTCTTAGAGCTTCTCTCTCTACAAGACAAAGATATAATACAAAAATGTATATTTTCTGGGTCTGTCGGCTGACTTAACCCTCTGCAGGGGTACGTGGCAACGGCTGGTTGGTTCTACTCAAAAAGGTGACTGAGTGAAAAGACAAGACTATGACAAAGTGTACTCAACAAGCTAGGCGGCAAGAGCACTTCGACAAGTAACGACATCGGCTAACAACAAGACTTCGGCAAGTAAGGGGCAAGGACATCGGCTAGAAAGGACAACACTTGGCCTAGCTGTGCCACACCTCGGCCTAGGTCATACCAATCCAGGAGTAAGGCCACTGGGTCCAAGGGTAACATCTCGGCCTAGATAATGCACATCTCGGTCTCAGCGCTGAACATGACGGCCAGATAGTGACATCTCGGCCAACATGTCAGAGCAAAGGTGGAGTCCACCAAAGTAAATTCCAAGATGGTCTTAGATGCAAGAGGTTCAAAACTGACCTAGGCTCAGGGTGACCTCGGCTAAACCCACATCGAGCAAGGTACAAAGCATGCTGTAACACTTAAGCGAACAAGGACAAGACTTGAGATGTAAGCTTAACAAGACAGAATCATATGAATGCATATGAGTATGGTTAGGACAACGTGAGGGTTATTACAAAAGAAAAAATCAAACTTATTCTAGTTCTCTCTATTTCTATAATATTTATTTATACAAATAAAGACAATTTGTAATTGACATTAATTTCTAATATTTATTTGTATTTTAACACATTTATTACAACTAAACAGAAAAAATATTTATTAAAATATAATTATATATTTAATATATAAAATATATAAACGCTGCTATAAGCCCTCCCAATCATAGAAACTTCTATATGCCCTTGCTCACCCGTACCTCGCCCTTGCGTCATGCAACTTAGGTCCATGTTTACCCATGATGCTGATTTCCACATTTCCTCTTCCAATGGTTGATTGAAAACAAAAAAGATTAGTTTGCAACTTCTTCATTGTGAACTTATCCAGCCTGTGCTGAGGAGTCTATAAAATGTGATATTTTTGTTACAAGAACACAGCTTCTGTCACGACCCAAACCCGCCTCTAAAAGTTTGGTCCATGACCGGCCTGTACATAGGCCTCAAAACAGAATTTAGAATAATATATAATTACATACGGGGCCTTAATTTAGGGGTGACCATTGGTTTAATGGTTAAAACTTGGCCTAATAACCTTGAGGTTATGGGTTCAAGTCTTGGGCCACCACTTTACGCTTTATGCCAAAAAGGTTAGGTGTGTACTGAATCTTTCCCCTCCCAAACACACATTAATGTGTACTTCTTGGGCGTTGTTTTTTTTACATACGGGGCCTTAAGCGGAAGCAATATCAATAAAAGACAACATCCATTGAGCTTGTGCATACATGATGGTTTAATTAGATTTAAGCGTTAAAAAACATTTCCAAATATACATATACAGTCACAGAATTTATATAGATCTCACACACACTTACAGAAGATTTAATAGTTTATAAGACTCCCAACACAAATTAAGGCCTCATCACAGAGACGTACCCTAGGCAGCTCGGCAGACAGGTAGACCTCAATACCACTCTAGTGTTAATCTCCGATGGCTCACCTACATAAATATACACAAAAACAGAGTGAGCAAGGCTCAATGAATAATAGTATGTAAACAATTTAATGATTAACTTGCATTACAGTGTACATATATAAGTGCAGAGAATATATAGTTAACTTTATCTTGTAATTATTTCTAGAATGGCCTTAGGCCTAATCTTTAAACAGAGTGGCTTCAAGCCCTTGGACAAAATGGCATTCAACCCTTATCAGAACGGCATACAGCCCTTATCAGAACGGCATTAAGCCTTTATCAAAATGGCATTAAGCCCTTATCAGAACGGCATTAAGCCCTTATCAAAATGGCATACAGCCCTTATCAAAACGGCATACAGCCCTTATCAGAACGGCATTAAGCCCTTATCAGAACGGCATACAGTCCTTATCAGAATGGCATTAAGCCCTTATCAGAACATATGAACTCAAGAGGTGTCTCGTACGGATTCTAGAGGTGACTCGCACTGCAGCACTTAGTTCCGCACAGCACTTTGTTTCATACTAACAGATCATACAGAATGGCCATAGGCCCAGATGTCACAGATTGGCCATAGGCCTCATAGATATTACAGAACGGCCATAAGCCTCATAACTTTCACATATGTATAGACTCAAGAGGTGGCTCATACGGATTCTAGAGGTGGCTCGCAGTGCAGCACTTAGTTCCGTACAGCACTTTGTTCCATACCAAGAATCAATAGGTCTTAAAGACCAAACAATGCATATCATGTCATAACAGAAATGGAACGATTAAACAGAACAGAATAACTCCATGGGTTATTGTAGGTTGATCTAACTGGCTTACGTATAGTAGAACATTAACAATACTTACTGACGGAAAATACATATATCATTAGCCTCAGAGTGATACGGAGGCATACAGATTCGTTTAATCATTCACATGAGTTGAGTTAACATAGCTAGTTTGCATTTAACAGAGTGTTGATGATGACCATTAACAAATAGATACCGTAGTTTCATAATGTACACACATTCCATTATTCGTTATGAATCTGCCGGTGCAGAGTATCAATAATACTTATTAACGGGAGATGCATGTATCATTACAATAGGGTCAATAGAGTCAGAATAGTTTATATCATAACGTGGGTCATATAACGATGGTAGAATTTTGTGTTCATATCATAGATTCTGAACGATCTCAGGTTCATGTATAACACAACAGAATAATCTTAGATTCGCGCAGACACCATCATTTTCGGATGAACATAAGTTCTATTTATTTATTAAGAAACGACGTAGTTTGCTTATAGATAACAGAAAGTTAATATTCACTATTGACAGAACAAAATGGTTCCAAAGTCAAACCCATGTATGCAAATCTTTCCACATTTACATAAGTTCATCCTCTTCCCAATCGACATAATGTTAGTGTAGTCACTTACAAGGAACAGAGCATTGGTATCCATAGTCATTAACGATAAGTAAAATGTACATTTACCATACTACTACTCACAGTGGTAGGTCTCTGATAGCGGTGGAACGATGTCCTTATCTTGACCTACAAACACAATGCACATAGCAGATTATGAGGATAAAACTAATTTCTTTCTTATTCCTTAATCAATAGCTATGGTGGTTCTAAACTCATTAGTCCTCCATCGGTTATAATCCATGCCCCAGAAAATAGGAGGAATCGATAGGGAAATGGCTCAGACGAAGAAATGGTACAAAACTGGTTGACAGAAAGTGAACAGTCGTCACTAATTTGGACATAACTATTTCTGTATTTAGAATTTGGGAGTGAGACTACCACCAATGGAAACTAGACTTCCGGGGCTTGATTTTAGGCTCAAGAATCACTCAAAACGGAGTCTGGATGCAAAAGTTATGCTTATTCAAAGTTACCCAGTACATGCTGAAACAGGGGTGGCCGCTCGTGCGGTGGCTGGGCCGCTCGAGCAGTGAACTTGGCCGCTCGGCGGAGGGTTAAGCAGAATGCAATGCTCTGTTTTTCTCATGTGCCGCTCGTGCGGTGCCCATGGCCGCTCGTGCGGTCTGGGCAAAATTAGACAGTCCGAAAATGGCTTTTGATTTGGAACTTCTCATTTTCAAAACCAAACTTCAATTTTAAGTAAATCAAAGCCTAAAACTCTTTAATACAAGATAAATTTCACATTCTTAGCTTCCATTCCAATTCATAACTCCAAAATACAACTTAATTTCTCAATCACAAGAATAAGATTACAAATTAGAATACAAAAGCATAAGGTAACCATGATTTGGGGTTTAAACTCATTCACATGGTTGAATCCTCTCTAGCCTCTTTAAGAGCCATAAAATCCTTACAAGAAGTTAAGTTGTAATATAAATTCATGCTATGTATAAAGATTCATCATCTTCTTGCTTGAATGAACCAAACCCACATATACAATTATAGATAACCCAAGAACTCATTCTTTAGCTTGTGATTTTCAAGTGTTGAGAAGGAGAGTCTTACCTTAAGCCCTTATCATCACTTGTTCTTGCATAATCATGATGAATTCAAGCCAATTCTTTGATGTCTTCTTTCATCTCTACTCTTTCTTCCTTCTTCTCTTTGAGTTCTCTCCAGAACTCTCTTCCCTCTCTTTCTCACGTGTCTCTCCTTTTTTCTCTAGATATTTTTGGGCTCAAAATGTTGAGTTCCTCATCATATACATCCATATATATATATATATATATAAATACTTATGACAATTAGGAGTAGCCAAACACATTCTTACGAATCGTACAAAATCAAATTCTAATTAAACTTCTCAGATGACTCTAAAAATTGTGCTGATCATAAATATGTCCTCTGTTCCGGTTTCTGAAGCCTCTAAGCCCTTCAATGTATAATACCAAGTTAACCACCCAAATGTGCATTAACAAATCAGACAAATTAGATTTCCAATTAATTTTTCCAAATAGTTCCAAAAATTCCCGTTAACATATCCAAGTACTCAATTTTGATTTCTGAACCCATATAGGTCGGTAATTTCAATTTTAAATCTGTAACTCAACAGATAATGCTTCAATTCCGAAAGATATAATTAAATTAAAACACCTCATCCCATAGTTAAATACAGATGATTTCTTATACGCATTTTAGGGTCATTACAGCTTCTTTCTAGCTGTTCCAAACAGGTAAAACTTTCACAGTGGATTTTGAAGCTCCGTTTGTTTTAACAGAAAACATTTTCTATGCAAAACCTTTTTAGAAAATATTTTCCATTGCATTATTAAAACTGATGCACTAATGCTTGATGGTGGTCGCGACAGGGGGGAGGTTGAGGAGGTGGGGTGGTGGTGGTAGTGTGGTGGCATTGGTAAGGCTTTAGTCTGAAATTTTTTTTTCTGTCCGTATAGTCTTATTTTCCATTACTTTTGTTTTCTGTTGAGCCAAATGCCAAAAAATGCAAAAAATATTTTTCCGTGGTCAATGGAAAACAAGACCAAGTAGATGTTTTCCTCCCAAACAAACAGAGCATAAGTTAGTTCTTCACACTGATAATAATTACTGTAGAAATATCTAAACTGATTCTTCATTGATTGAACTGAATTACCACTAGTGTATATATACACCTCATTACACTTGTACTGACTAACTAACTACATTCAGTGCCTGTTTGGTGCAACTTAAAAGCTGCTTATTTCAGCTTTCAGCTTAATTTAAGCTATTTTGATGTGTTTGGTTTACCTTAACAATGCAGCTTATAGCTTTTTGTAAGTCAGAAATTAGCTTATTCTTTGAGTGGGGCAGGAGATGCTTAATTTATAAGTCAGAAATCAGCTTATATTCATAGTTATAAGCTATAAGCTGTTAAGGCATAAGCTATAAGCACTTTCCCACAGCTCTACCAAACAGGGCCTCAGTTACAGAAGATAGCTAACCTACACTGCACTACACAGCAATATGGTGCACTCTCAGTTGCTGCTGCATCAATGGGAAGCTGAGCTGGATTAACTGAAGTAGCTCTGCTTCTTCTTCTGTTTATATCCTCTGTTTTGAGCTCTACCTTATTAATTACCAGACTTCAACCGCTCTGCTTCTTCTTCTGTTTATATCCTCTGTTTTGAGCTCTACCTTATTAATTACCAGACTTCAACCTAGAAAGCATAAGACATAATTCCTGACGTAATTAATATACACAGTAAACCATCACTTCTCATGCCACAGATATATGCACAGACCAGAAAACTACATTATTAGGTCATATACAGTGATAATATTACGCAGAAGTTTGGGCTACTAGAAATTTTAAGAATTATCTAATAAGCACAGGCATGGAGACGCAACATGACATGGACCCACTGAACAACAATTTTTAAAAAATGCAAGACACGAAATGTGGAGGATACGAATAAAAGGTATATTTTTATTTTATATCATATATATGAATATTTCATTCAAAGATGATAAAAAAATATGACATCAACGCTATTTCCTAAAGTTAAAAGGAAGAGGGATTAATAGGGTACAAATCTACCTTCTTTTTTTCTTTCTTCTTTTTTTTTTTTTAAAAAAAAAGAGATTTTTTATCATTATATCCTAAATATTTTTTAAACTTATAATTTGTTTTATGTGTGTCTTAGCAATAGACACCTATACCCCTAAAGTGTCCAAAGCGTTTTGGGCCTAAATAATTAAAAAGTAATAGGACACATTTAGACAAGTATCAGATATGTATCAAGAAGTGTCTGATGAATATCAGTGTCTAAGAAGTGTCCGTGCTTCTTAGAGTATCAGCTCCACAGTCCAGTACTTAAAATCCCAGGAGGGCTGATTGCTGGACAAATTAAATAAACAATGACTTCCAATATTTTCACACAGGCCATATAGTACTTAGTGTACTTAGTTCATTTCCACCATCAACCCAAGTTCACCAAAACTCATGCATTGACTAGAAATTGAGCACCATCAAAAGATTTCAAGAGATCAACAAATATCTCAATCTCCCAAGTTCAAGTAACAGAAGAACAACCTTTTTTAAGCTGATGGATCTCTATTTGCAGTATAAGACAGACAAAATCAACTCAGTACCATGTATTTGTCAATGAAAAAACAATGGATGGTTTTAAATCCAAATAACAGGGAACAGTATCCCTAAACATAACCACGGCTACAACCATACTATCTCTTAGCAAACTGCTTCTTTTGTGAGTTTCAACAATCAAGTGTTCTTGCTCTCTCAACTGATAAAAAAATTGCTCCAAGTTTGAATCCTCTATTCATAAACAATTATTCATCATCAATATCATCTAATTCCTTTACCTGTCCGGGCATATACCCAGCCTCTCGCATTTCCAAGTTCAGCTTTTCCAACTCTGCATAGATCTCTTGAGACTGAAGGTGAGATATATCATCCACGAAGAAAAAATGAACCCCCTTTCCCATCTCAATCCAACTCCATCCTGCCGGTTTTTTAATTCCTCTTAGTTTCATCAATTTCCTAATCTTGACCATTTCACTCAATAATCCAGCTCCTGCATAAATGTTTGCCAGCATTATGTATGGAACAGCACTCTGTGGTTCCATTTTAAAAAGCTTATATGCTGCTTCCCTCCCAAGTTCTACTTCACCATACACTTTGCAAGAACTCAAGAAGGAACTCCATATCACGGAGTTTGAAGCAGAGGGCATTTCCTCCATTAACTCCTTTGCTCTCTTTAGATGCCCAGTCCTTGCGTGTAGGTCAATCAAACAAGCATATTGGTCTAGCTCAGGAACTAAACAGTAATCTCTTCTCATTTTATTAAAATATTCAACCCCTCTTTCAAGAAATCCAGCGTGGTTGCAGGCAGTCAATACAGCAGTGAAACATACATGGTCTGGCATGAAACCTTCTTCTTTCAACAAATAATCGAAAAGTTCCAATCCATCTAAAGCTCTTCCGCTCTGAGCATACCCAGAGATCATTGAAGTCCACATGACGCTATTCTTCTTAACAGTCTGATCAAAAACACTACGAGCTTCATCAATGCAACCACATTTTGAGTACATATCTATCAAAGCACTTGCAACAAACATATTGCAACTTGAACCCATTTTAGTTAGCAGAGCATGCAACTGTCTTCCTTGTTGGAGGACTGATAAGCTTCCACAAGCATTTAGAATGCTGGTTAAAGTATGATCAGTTGGACTCAAATTGTCATTGCGCATTTCCACAAATAGTTTCAGTGCTTCTTTGCCATATAGGTTCCGTGAATATGCTGAGATCATAGAATTGAGCAGGATATTATCCCTCTCTGAAGTTGCATCAAATAGTGATACAGCTTGTTCAATTCTCCCACATTTTGAATAACAATCAATTAGAGAGCTGGCTACGAAACTGTTAATGCACCCAGTTTTGATTAAATGAACATGAATCGACATACCACATTCAAATGCCAATTCCAGCCCAGTGCAAGCGCTAATAACACTAACATAAGTAAAACAATTGGGTTTAATTTGGGTACCCAACATTTCTCTAAACAATAAAATGGCGTCTCTCCCATGCCCATTTTGCGAAAACCCGGATATAATCGAGGTCCATGAAACCTGATCATGCCTCTTCATGCCATCAAATACCCTTCTTGCATCAGCTAATGCACCACACTTCGAATAAACATCGACAAGTGCACTGTTTATAAATAAATTTTCCTCATACCCTGTCTGAATTACTCTGGCATGAATTTGCAAACCCAAATGCCGATTTAGTGTCTTTGCGCAAGAATTGAGAGCAGTACAAAGAATGAACTTGGTAGGCTTCCTTCCAAGTCCATTGGTGTCACGAAACGACACCAATGCCTCATGGGTATTGAGTTCTTTATTAGCTTGTTTCCTAGCATAACTACTCTCCAGCATTTCATCGAACACATGGTGTGCTACACTAGATAAATATCTGTATCCACTACAGCAGTACAATTTAGGGGTCACATTAATTATTAGCATTTGGGAATGATTCGTAACCAACAAAAATCTGAGTTTTTATCATCACATTCATGTCTCTGAAACTTGGCATCAAGGACTCTCTCAACCAAGATTAAAACCCAGCTGGTAATTGGGGACTATTATGTTCCATCCAATCACCAAATCTGTATTAGAAATATAAAGATTGCATTATTAGGTTTATTGAAGAAACAGAAAACCTTGTGATACCGTTGATGTAGAGGGAGGAGCGAGAGACTGAGGGGGAGAGAGAGAGAGAGGGAGCGCTGAGAGATAAATATTTGTAAAAGAGTAGAGAGGTATACAAAATAAGGGGCTGGCTTCCCTCCAGTTGGAGGGTACTGTTGATCACGGTTTCCTTTGGATAATTTGAACGGTTCAATACGTACAATTCGTCAATTATTATATGTATGTAAAAAATTACTTTGATTGGATATCGATAGTTACGTAATCAAATCAGTTTTATATAAAAAAATAGACAGTGAAAAAATAAACGGTTAACAAAAATCTGATCCGATGAGATAGCTATAATATTCGATTAATGCAATTTTTTAAAGACATATAGTACTCGATGAGTTCTACACATTAAACAATTTAAATTATCAAAAAGGGACTCGTGATAGCCCCCACGGGCCCAATAGTACCCTCTATCAGACTAGAGGGAAACACAGCCCACAAAGTAAATAGGTAAATTACACTTTGTCCCAATTATGTTTGATTTTTTTTTTTAATGAGTAAATTATATTTACATCCTTGAGGTTTAGATTTAATACATATTATTCTTAACGTTTGAGAAATTACACTAATCTCCTATCACCGTAATTATGTAGACTGAATAAAAATATTGAATTCATACACTCTCTTTTTTCTTTCTTTACTTTACTTTCTTTATTTTTTTTCTTTCCTTAACTTTACTTTTTTTCAATGTAATTTTCTCTGTTTTCTGCTAAGAGTTATTGTCTTTCATATAAGTAAGGAGTTTGTGAAATGAGACTATTAACTATAAGGGTGAAAATGTAATTTTCAGAACGTTAAGAGGTGGAATGTAATTGGATCAAACCTCAAGAAGTGTCATTGTAATTTATCCATTTTTTTAATTTGACTCTTAATTTTTTTTTTCCCATTTTCATCTTTCATATTTTAAGTTTTTTTTTTTATTTACTCAAAAAATTTTATGTCTAAAATTAGACAAAAAATGACACATTACAATCATATGACATAAATATATTTTATTATATATAATTAACTCACACTTCTAATATAAACTCAAATCTCAATATAATAATACAGTATATTTTTTTATATCACGTGGCACCTAATGTGACACTTTTTTTTTATCTAATTTTGAATAGAAGTTAGTTTTAAAACTAAATTGAAACATAAAAAGTTAAGGTGAGAAAAAAAAATTTAAGGACCAAAGTGATAAACAAGTAAACATAAGGGGAAAACTTTAATTTATCTCAATAAATAGGTAAATTATACTCATCTCCTTTAAAGTTTGAAAAAAAAAAATATAGATAATTATATATTTTTGATGTAATTATACTAACTATCCTTTTAGTAATGCTAAAATGACCAAAATTAATGTAGATAATAGGCAGGCACTAAAATAAACAAAGCTGAATGTATATTTTAATAGAAAATAAATAATAACATCATTTTTTATTTATTATATATAACTAATGAATTATTGATAGAAAAAATGTCCTAGATATTATGGGAATGAAACACTCAAAGGAGATCAAAGTAATTATATTAAAAGTGTAAAGAGATAATTATATATTTTTGATATAATTATACCAACTATCCTTTTAGTAATGCTAAAATGACCAAAATTAATGTAGATAATAGGCAGGCACTAAAATAAACAAAGCTGAATATATATTTTAATAGAAAATAAATATATAATAACATCATTTTTTTTTATTATATATAACTAATGAATTATTGATAGAAAAAATGTCCTAGATATTATGTGAATGAAACACTCAAAGGAGATCAATGTAATTATATTAAGGCTTGGTTTGAGAAGTGGGTTGGCTTTTTGGCTTTTTGACTTTTTTGACTATTTTAGCCTGGGCTTAAAAGCTTGGTTTGGGAAGGGCTTTTTGGCTTTTTGACTTTTTTGAATTTTTTTGTGAGAGAAGAATGTAATGATTATGAGTTGGATGTGATGTTTTGTTCGTTATGGCTAAAATAGCTTATTTTATTTTTTGTGGCTAAAATAGCCAAAAAAGCCTGCAAACCCACTTGCCAAACTCAGACTAAAAGTGTAAAGTTAATTTTATTTTTTTCAAATCTCAAAGAAGGTGAGTACAATTTATTCAAATAAATAAATGAATCAATTCTAACAAAATTATTATACACAATAAAGTATTTTATCGTGGTCCTTCTATTTAAAAATATAAGACACTCATTATGAACATAATTTATAAATATACATATTTTCTGTCATTCCTGAACCATATTCTAGACAAAAATATTACTTATTCTATGTTTATAAAAATATGAAGATACAAATAAATCTGTGTAATGTGGTAAATAAAACTGTGATATGAATTACATTTTTTCAATTATTCATTTATTTTCAGTAACTTACAATTTTTTTTATTTATTATACATCTAGTAACAATTACACCCATTCCATCCATTAACTATTAATCATGACATCAACAAAAATATCCCATCATAGTCTCCCTCCATTTTTATCTTAACTTTTATTATCTCATGAACAATTTTTTTATTTTATTTTATTTTATCATGAACTCAATTAAGAGGGCTTTTTTGTTTTTTTTTTTTTTTTTTTTGGGGGGGGGTTAATGGTAGTCGTAGCTATGGCCATGGAGTGTGTAGTGGTCACGATAGTGTGGTTATAGTAGAATATATATATATATATATATATCATAATTTATAGGGAAAAATATTAATAAATGAAAAAATGGAGAAAGTATTATCAATTCACAAGAACATTTTCAAAATTTTAATGATATAGAAAAAGATAATAATTTAAAAGTGTGGAATGTCATTCCTTCAACCAAAGTACCATTTTCTCTTTCCTTCTCTCTTTCTCTTCCCTTTGCAACTCTCCAATTGCCGATTACTGCTGCAACACCCTCTCCACTACTATTAATCACCATTTCTTTTAAAGTTTAATAATGTAAAATATTTGTCCTTTCACCAATGTGGCAATTGCAATGGTGGCCTTAGCTTTAATAATTTGAAATTTGTGAGGATGTACTTTTAACCCATAAGCAAAGGGCATGATTTTAACACTTAAAAATAGTTCTTTTTATATATCTAGTTAATTAGTGATTCCCTTACTAATGTGTTGTTTAGGGATTGCTTCTATGGGATTTTTTTTTTTTTTGGAACTTATTTTGTTACATTTTCAAAGGATGCAGCTTGCCTCCATTTCGAGATCGGGCTGGACGGTGATGATTGGTCTTTGGAGGCCCACCATGGATTCCGTTTTAATAATTTGAACCATTCAATGTGTAAAACTCATCAAGTACTATATGCCTGTAAAAAATTACATTGATCGGATATTGATAGCTATGTGATCAAATTAATTTTGTATATAAAGAAATGGACGGTAAACAAATTAACAATTAACAAAAAATTGATCCAATGAGATAGCTATCAATATCCGATCAACGTGATTTTTTATAGGTATATAATACTCAACGATTTTTACACATTGAATGATTTGGATTATCAAAACAGGACCCGTAGTGGCCCCCATGAGCCAAACAACACCATCCAGTCCGATCTTGAACCGGAGGCAAGTTGCTCCCTTTTTCAAAATGATGTTTGAGAAGTGCTTATATAGTATTTATTTATTTATTTATTTATTTTTTAAGTTTCAGTCTGTAATATAATATGTTGTCACATTACATGCTTGGAAAGCCAAATTCTCATTTTACCCTCAAGACTATGGGACATTTGTTGTTTTACCATGTTATGCATGGAAACATGGGCAGCACCTTAGTAGAAAATCATCCCCACAAGTTTTACAATTATATAATGATCGCAAATTATTTTGGAAATCTATTATTTTATTATATAGTTTTTATTTGCAAAATTGTTATTTTATGTACTTTGTATTTCTTTTTACCCAAATGCAGTAATTAATTGTCACACCACATCGTTGAAGATTATAAGAACTTACATTTCAAAAAAAAAATTGTCAACAACATTAGCAACTGTGTTGTAATTGGCCATGCAATGACTTTTTCAGTTCACTTGACCTCAATACATACATGTACTTTACGAAAAATAATATATAAGTTTACTTTTTAAATTTAATGAAGTGTAAGTGAGATGATTGGTTAATGATTAGAGAATATATAAGAAAGAAAGTTGTCTTATATAGTCTAATTGCTTGCCACCTCATTATATTTAAAAAATAAATCTAATTTTAAAGTTAAAATAACAAAATTGGACTTGCAATGTCTATGGAACAGTTTCGTTATATGCAATAACAATGTATGTGTTATGCATTACAAAATTTAGTTTGTGGTAAAATACCAATCACTTGTACATGACATTGTCGACAATGTGTTGGGGGTTACAAAATAACACATGCCTTCATAAGTTACTAATTTCTTACAACAAATGGTTAGGGGAATGTACCATATCATTCGAAATGCAAATTATAGGCCAAGTTCCTGAACAATGTGCGGCCAATTGATTTCTAATTCCTCCCCTGAACTCACTCATTTCCATCTCATCATCTCCCGGCATTATGTTGTTGGTAAAAAATTGGTTTAAACTTAATCAATAGCGATTAATCGTCAGATTTAAATTAACTTTCATACAAAACACAAAAAGATTAGATTTGTGATTGAGTTCTATACCTTAAACAGATTAAGGACTTCCTTGAAGTTAATTAAATAAATAAGAAACAGAATGAAACAGAATATGTATTATTCAAATAAATTTTCACTTGCTACAAGTTGCTTCAACTTAAACAAGAACAAAGAACTGAAAAATACAACAATCAACAGAAGAAAAGAAATAGAGGTTGGAAAAACTAACACTAATCTATTCTTAAAATCGCTAATTCAACTACGCTTAACTAGAAGCTAAAATTATGAATTGTGAGTGGTTTGAGATGTCTTTCTTTGTATCTCTCTTGACCTATTTATAGGCTCAACCACATGAAAGAGGGATAATCTAATCACACAATTTTCTCAACAAGCTCATGATTTCCTCAATAGGCATGATTTTCTCAACATCATCTATATCTCATGTTTCATAGAAACCACTTTGCAGATTTTGTGTTTGACTTGGTCTTTGACTCCTTGATCTAAGCAATAAACTTTCAAATGG